GTATGTGTGTGATGTATGGTGGCGGGTGTTGTTGTTACTATGCTAATGTATACCATACATCAGTGTACGAGTGGCTGTGCTTACCTTGCGCGTTCACCTCGTTGATGTAGTGACAGAGTAGAGCTAAACAAACACACAACGCCGCGATGTATACGTTCCTTGAGACAGATAGATCCATTTTGACTAGTGTTATTCACATCGTCAATGCTAAAACAGTACTCACAACACACAACAGCGGCGGCTGACGATCAACCGGTTGCTAGTAACGCGCAGAGTACACCGTAACGGCTGGCTCGCTGGCTGGCTGCAGCTGTTTTGCTTGGCTCATTAATATTCAATCGCGGTACATCGCGCGTACGTTGACCTGAGGTGGATATTATATACACTTCGTACTCGCAAGTGTGTGATCACCGATAAGCGATTAATGTCCTAGTTCATCGCACATATAGCAAAAAATAGAATTCGATATTATGTCCAATCCTATGTTACAGTAGAATTTAGCATAAAATAGCCCCGGTGTCACACGGAATAGCGTATATTGTTTTAAAATGCTGAAGATGTCTTCCAGAAGTAAGCCAGTTCGTACAGGTAGTTATTTCAAACGATGACACTGCCATTCACCGTTCCTCAGAATCAGATAATAGTATTCCGGAATAGTTTCCAGATGTCTGTGTCCATATACAATCTGGATCAGAATCCGCTAGCATTTAAGTCCGTCAACAAATATATAATAAACAAATGCGAGAAAATATAAATCGAGTTGTTTATTATCATGACTAGGGTCGTTACTACTAGTACTCCCTAGCGCTCGTAAATAACAACAGTACAAGAGACTGCCAATAACAAACGCCGACAGTATATAAATATATTTATAGATACACCACACGAAGCCATACCTATTCATATCATGTTGTACGTATCATATTTTTTCCATTGTAGTTTCTAATTATTCTGTGCTGTGGACCGGCGTCGCAATCACCATCGGATTAGCATAGTTATAAGAACGGACGGAAGTCTTTTTTTTTAGCTTTTGTATTTAATTCATCATAACCCCGCGATGTGAATGCGCACGGCGCAAGGCGAAACAAATGTCTTGATTTACAGGGCCGAACGATTTAACTGTATCATGTTACGTGTGTACAGGGTTAAAAGTGATGACGTCATAGTAAAATGAGTATAATACTAGCTATTTCAGGTTTATTAAAATAAAAACAAAATCGAACGTTAATTGACTCAGAGTATACGGTATACGTGTGTTGTCATGGATACGAGAAGAATGCGGCAAGGTAGAAAACTACGCAAGGATCGATAACGATTGGTTTTATCATTGCTATACTAGTACCAGTATTCTAAAATTAAACCAGATAAGCTGGAGGCCCGTGTCGCCGAATCGAACCGCGATGCACTGTATACAAATATTTGTCGCTCGAAATTCATCTGTAAGGCAAACTAATTAATTAAAACCATCCTACGGCAACGCTGTAGCATTGAAAACACGTTTTTTTTTATTATTTATGATTTTGAATTCATCGCGCACGGTGTCGAAACATACGGAGACATTCCCGGTTCTAATAAACCGTTGATCGACATAGTAACAACGAATTACAAAGCATAGAGTTTTCTAAGGTCAAATCATTTAATTATTTTTTTTAATATGAACGCAGTGTTATCGAATTGAAGTACTTAATATAAGTGTGATCGTGTGTATTGTTGTATTCCCTTCTGACAAGTTATTATTAGCTCAGCAAATGGCGGGCAAACAAGCATGGAGGTATGTTTTGTTACACACCGGAGCTCCACAAACATGTTATTATAATATTACTCTCACAATAGAATCAGCATTGACGTGCATAGACACATTTTAATCTCTCCTCTGTCAATTAATTGTCGTATATATAACATGCATATTTGCTTTGTCGCGTATTGAGAGAATGTATTACCTCCATCGTTATATGTGCTGTGTGACGTTTTAACATAATACATCTTTTTGTTTAGCCATAACGAATACGACTTACAACCACGATGGAAGTAATTTAAGACTGTACTTTGATTGTACGCGTTGATTTAAAACTTCAATACAAAAAGGAAAAAATGACACAATCTCACTGTAACATTCGTATAATGCGTGTGAATGATCTTATTGACATAAATTTGCATTCACTTGTTGAGCAGTCTATTTATGCTGCATTTCACGGGCGTTGTATATTTCCATGAAGACGCTATACCCGCATATTTCTAGCGGTAATATATACTTTCAAGCGCGTGACGGGTGAACACAAGGAGAATAACAAAAATCAGGGAATGTGATGGAAAATACAAAATGGCTATAATTGTTTCGTCATGAATAGAATACTGAATGATGCTATTTGTAATGCTGATGGGCTGCCATATGGTCGTATTCGGGTCGCCGGAGTGAAGGAGAAAATACAATCATGATGGACGATCGTCAAGCTACTCTACGTCAGCGAGAATGTATAGTGCTTGGTTGAGTATTTACCGTGAGGTAGATTTAGAGTTTGGGAAGCTTTTATTGTTGTGACTTGTGCATTTTAAGCGATGTTTTACAGCAATCATACAACTCGGTTTTTGACAATTAAATAATTCAAATTTTGGTTATAAATTGAAAATAAAATGACCGCATGTATTAGTTATCTTATTCCCCAACTTGAAGAACAATCACACAATCAACTTTTCGAGAAATTATTATTGTTTATAGATTTTGATCAATATTTTCCAAAGTTGATCAAGACTTTAAGCACATAATATCGACAATATATGACAGTAATTACTTAATAACCATGTTTTCAATTTTAGTATGACTATATATTAAAGTGACGATAGCTGTTATTTGAACATTTTGTCGGCCAGGGCACCCGGTGAATTGTCATCTTGTCATCCTCTGGAGACCTGACGCAATCTAGTGGTATTTCCACATTTCGACGATCGTCGCTATAATAATGACACAGGAAAAGTTTTATTAAAATAAAAATCAGAGAAAAGTATCGAGAGCATTTCCAGTACGCATAATTAATCGCACTTTATCCATAACATTGTTACAGTGGCGGCGCTGTTCCGCATATAATCGCCATTTTGGATCTTATTCAAATATTGTTTTAAAATAAAATAAAATAAAAAATGATAAAAGCCAAAACTAGGATCGTATTTTAATCATACTGGAAACAACGATTGCACCTTATGATATATATTTATTCACAATAGTATAGATATAGGTAAACCGACAGACCGACCAACGGACAGACAATAAGACTGTGTTCTTAAAGTAATATTTTGTTTATTTCTCAAATTAAAATATTAACATATCATAGTAACATAGATAGTTATATATAATGCTATTTGCTAACATTCAGTCATTAAAATAAAAAAAACTGTTGTTTTTAGCTACTAATATATAAAACAGATATATATCTCTTGGAGGACTGCCCAAAACACCAAATGAGTTTTTCATTGACCAAATACCGATAATTACATATATTTAATAAATAATAATATTATAACTTCACGACTTTGAGATATTAAATATTCATCAATACAGTTTGGAACATTTTGACGTAAAGATATGTTTGTAAAAAGTACAATGAACACTAAACTTAACATTTCAGTTTGTTGAATGATAGATTTTTATAAAGCACGCGGACATCTCGGTAATACCGCGTTACTTTATTTAGGGAATGTGTCATTGTGTCTCGGATATACACGTAACACATATCAAAGCCACACAGAAAGTAAAGTATGTAAAGAAAATTAAATGAACTGAAATTTTGAATATTTATATTTTAATTGTATACTATATTTGAGCGATCGGCAACAGCTCGGTAGGTAGGATTACATAATTACATAATCCATCGTTGTCTATGAATATAAAACATTTTGTTCCAAAGTCGACAAACGATTCACAAAATATGTGCGAATCTGAAAAACAAATAAATATGTAACCCAATAAACTAATGTAATGTAATCAGTGGTTCTAAGAATACAACCTGAATAACATGAACATACTAAGAATTTCTTAACAATTAATTTGCACATATAAGCACTGAAAATCACAATAAACTAACTAATGCGTTAGCTATAATGCAAATTAGGTAATTAAGGTACACAGATTTGAACTCAAAAACTAACCGGGTCTATGGATCACACCATCGACCATCCGCAGCGAATTGGATGATCGCTTCTTAAGATATATAGAAAGATCAACATATACACACATTGCGTTTGCTCTCTATGGAATACACGTGTAGTTCGGAACATTTGAATTTAGTATTTCAGAGATAACAATCTGGTATATGGATCTTCACAGCTTAGACCCAATGATTACATTAATGGTAGTATATGAATATATATGACAGTGTCGTGGTTGCAACGAATACAATAAACACGTCAGCCGTGAAACGGAAATGTCAAATAGCACAGTCGTGCTCATCAGTACACTCGCGATATGGTTATATAAAATAAATTATACTCCCATGAAAGAAAAAAAAAACTAATTTTCAGTATGAATATTGATTCCCGCAGGTGGTTGGCAATAAGTAAATTGGACGGAGTTCATACATTGATTTGACAGTTTGACGCTGAATAGTGAAATGTATGACATAAAATAAAGTAAATTAAATCAGAATATGGGTTGTGGAGCAATAATGATTACAATATTCACGACTATATTTCAATATACAAGATTTCCATTCAATTGTTGCTTCATTTTTCGTAACTGAAACAGTCATGATCCTCCGATCTTAACACTATTTGTCCTATGGAATGTATCTAACGAAGTATCATATATGGAACTGTTTATAACATTACTACAACCGTTTAATTCTTAAAGATATTTTCGCCCTTCAAACAGTTCAGGCAACAATTTATAACAAAGATAAATTTAAATGTTTTGCATAGCTTTCTAAAATTATAACACAAATTATAGTAGATTATAAAAAAACGCGTGGAATGGCAAGTCGGTGATATGTTGTCACGTGAAGAACCTGATGTTACCTCCACTGTTTTAATGTATATAAGACGAGAACTAGCAGCATGGACGTAGGGGCTTTAAAGGTAGTACTACTTGAAACAGCCGCAGCTGAATCTGCAAAAATGAGGCAGTATGTTATAAATCGCTCCTCATTATTGTGCATTGATAGGTAAGTGCGTTCACTTGACCTGTTTTCTTTTGTCTGCGTCATAGTATGTACAGATGGAAAACGCATGGCATTTATCAATATAGAGATAAGTCGAAAATATAACAACGTACAACAGCATGATTGTTCTAGTTCAAAATGATTTTAGATGAGTGTCTATTTTAAAAGAAAAGACGAATTTTATCAAAACAATGGCAAGAAGTGTGGATTAATTGATAACTAAATATATTCGATGGCGGAAATCGGTCACAAAACTCAAATCGATCACAAATGTATCTGTGTACTACACCTGATTCGCACGAGTCTCCAATGAATCCTTCCTGACACGTGCACGTGTAACCGTTCCTCTGATCGAGACAAGTGCCGCCATTTTGGCACGGGTTGCTGGAGCATTCGTCTATGTCTGTCAACATTAAATATGAGAACATGACAACTTTGTTAAGCATTACAACCATTTTTTTTTATAAATATTAGTTTACCCATCGTCTCGAGGTGAGTAGTCTATTTTATTCGCTTTAAGCTTTTGTAGTTAGGGATACGCCATATTGTTTGTTGGGGTAGCTAGCTTGCTTTGTCTTTTCATCGATACCAATCTTGCGATTTCCGTTCATTGCCTGTTGAGCTCAAGTGAAATTATCATACATATATTTGATATCATTTATTGATGCTAATTGTTGTTAAAAAATTATTCTCGTGAAATTGGTTTTCCAATTCCAAACCTATTCATCCACGTAGAATATCAGTGTAACCTTTGAACTATACGTTCTCTGTTAACGTACACGGCTACAATCGGAACAAACATATATTTTAATACAAATCCGTGCACGGAAAAACTCGTCTTAAATGAGTGTTGTCTAATCCATACTAATACTACGGATTATGATACATTCGTGATACAAATACAAAGTCAGTTATTTTTCTATTTTAAAATTATTATAATGTTGATTTTACATAAAATATTTCAAAATTGCACATAAAGTAGGAGCAGACACTATTTATTTAAAGCCAAACGCGTTGACGTCATCTCACGCACAGAAAAGCATAACTAAATTATTATGACATACATTTTGAAAAAAAGCTTTGTCCGTGAAATACGTCATCACTATTGATGAGAAGTGTTAAATAAAAACCCGAGTACGTGATCTGTCGTACCTGAGGCACACGTCTCGCCTGTAAACCCATCGGGGCATGCGCAGAAATATCCGCCTGATTGGTCGAAGCATGTTGCATCGTTGAAGCATGGACTACTGAAGCATGGGTCTACAGCTGTAAATAAAAATGGAGAATATAAAATACTCTCTAGGTAATAAAATTGAAATTTAATGACGTAGTTTACATTCATTATCCAATAAAAATTTGAAAAACGCTTACCTATAGCTACTGCGCATGTCAAACCAATCCATCCGTCTGCGCATCTGCAGTAGTATCCACCTGACTGGAGAAAACATTCGCCGCCATTTTCGCAGGGATTGCCGTCACATGCATTGGAAGCTAATGGAAGAAGGTCAAATTTATTAATTTTAAGTAATTAATTATGATATTAATTTTATTTAATTCAAAAATAAAAAAATGGCAACGTAACTTGAACCAGTCACAAAATATTTATTTTAGTGAGCTGAAATTTAGTGAATTGCTCTCTCTGTTCGCATTAGCAACTCGATTAATCCGTGCTGATAGATTATAGTGCGGCCTTTATAGTAATGTGATTGTTATCAAAAATCGTCACTGATAATTCCCCCCCCCCGGATTAAGGGCGCATCAGAATGCATGAACAGGTGGTCAGCTCTCGTTTTTTAGTAATGTCGTCCAGCGCCCTCTATACGCTAATGGGAATACACTGGTAATCACGTTGTTATGCCTACAAGTTGTTCTCATTTGTGACTTACGCTCATCGCAGTTTTTGCCTGTCCACTGTTCAGTACACTGACACACGTAGTCGGTGCTGGTGTGATAACATACGCCACCGTTACGGCAAGGGTTCCATATACTGCATAACCCTGACTCCACTGTAAATGTATAATTAGAAAATCAATACAATACAATATGGATACATGCATACAACATACAAATGCTGCATCCCCATAATTTCATTTTTTTAAAGTAAAACGATGTATCACCTTGATCGCAGTTTTTTCCCATCCATCCTTGCGCGCAGACACAGGTGTAGTCCGGATACGCGTCATCAGATGAGAAGCACTGGCCTCCATTTTGACACGGTAAAGCGTTACAGGGATGTTCTGTTCAAGGACCAAAAGGTATAAGATTTAGCTCTGTCATGGTTGTAAGTTATTTTCCCCGAAGCCAGACAACCGAGTAAATATCGATTTCAAACGAGAACTTACCTCCGTCTCTAAGTTCGCAGTTGACACCAGTCCAGCCAACAAGACAATGGCAGGTGTAGAACATGGACAGTGTGCGACATACACCTTCGTTTTGGCAAGGGTTGCTGTCACATGGATCGCTGTACACAGCTGAAAATAAGAGACTGAACGATTGAAGAAAAAGTGAAGTATCGCCAGGCAATAACAAAACCAGTGTCGTAAAATTGCGATCATAGATACTTAAAGCGGGGGAGTCGTCACCTGCGTATGCGTCAGATGACCATAGCGTTTCATTGTTTACAAAGAAGCGTCTACCCGTGAGCCTTAGCGTATTTAGCGTGTGTTGTTATTGTCGCTTGGGACTCAATTCCCACGCGTGCGCAAGTGACGACCCTCCCGCTTTAAGTCTTTTATACTGACTACGCCTCTAAGGTCAATGAACTCACCAGTCTCACAGTTAGTTCCTGTGAATCCTGATTGGCAAATGCAGAGATAGTAGGATTCAAACGTATAGCACTCGCCGCCATTTTGACAAGGATCACTGATACATTTGTCACGATCTGAGAGAAAGGTGGCTTAGAAGTTCAACAAAAATATTCACTTACAATTTCACAAAACTTCAAGGTATATAGCCAAACGACTCATACATTTACTTATTTATTTGATGGAGCAATAAAACTAAACTAAATCGAACAGGAGCTCAAATGAACTTTTTGTGTTTTTTTTTTCTTTTACAAAGCTCTACTGATTTTGCGGTGCCTCAAATTCATTATTTATTATGTTCAGAGCCACACAACTTGTTTTTGCCCATAATGTTTCATTCTCCCACGTCTTCACGTCCACTGAACCTCAGACTTGCACAGCCGCCGCAATTATATATATCTTTGTCAAACATCAGTCTATTCTGTGGCGTATTCATTGCTAAAATTAATCATGATACGCAGTGACGTTATGGAACTTAGGAGTAGAATACTTCCAAAAGAGGAAAGTAAACGTGCGCCTGCGCGAAGGGTTCTACGCGTCAGATCGCGCATGCGTTGTAGTTGTGTAAACCAGGTCAGATCAAATGCTGCCTTTCTCGTTGGTTGGCATTTTACAATTCATGCTACTCGTTGGAATATTCATCACCTCAAAAACGCGATGACAACTCTAGAGGGCGCGAACAGTGGACGCGATGGTGGGATTGATTTGAAGGGCAAAATGAAGTCACGTGGCTCTCGCTCTCAAGGAGATCTCGGCGGCCATTTGTATGGGAAAACAATTCAGTGATTATAACAGCTTTTACGAGACTAATAAATAACGATATGGCGGTAAAGTGATGCAATCATATTAGCGATAAGTATCACGGTGTTAACAGTATGGAAAGTTTAGAACAACAAATACTATTCTGAAGCTTGATCATCAAAACAATTACAATTCATTCAACATCGGCGGCCATTGACACAAATTCGATAAACTACCTGTATCGCATCTTGTGCCCGTATATTCCGGTGTACACTGGCAGTAGTAACTATACTCTGACGTCACGTAACATGTGCCACCATGGTAACAAGGGTTTACAGAACATGGGTTCACAGCTGGGAAAACAAGATAAATGACTCGATAATTTGTATGAACATCTTCGTTTAGGGACTTGGTGTAATATTATTACTTATTTTTAAAACACAAATTCCAACTTACTATAATGTTTATTCAAACAAAATCATGTGTACTTACGAATATCACAGTTGTCTCCTTTCCATTGTGTTGTGCACTCACAGTCGTAGTGTGTTTGGTAATTCACGCAACCACCGCCGTTTTTACACGGATCGCTACTGCATAGATCCACTGAAAATATAATTTTATTGTCAAATATTGTTTGCGCTTCTCCGACTCGAACGAGTACACGAATGAATAATTAATTGATATAGTGATATATAACGGTATTTGTAGCTTTTACTGTTGGCACAATATGTCTCGTCAAATTGCAATGATATCCGGTGAATTATACAAGTTCTTATTTTGGAAAGTATTTGTTTTTATTCATATATTATATGGGACGAGTAAAGTTAATTGATGAAAGTAAATATTCAATTATTTTTCGTATATGCGGCTCCATGGCACATTATATCAGACTACTGTGACTATGAGGTTATTACGAGGATTCTGCAAAGATTAAATGTGCACAAAGACAGTACAGCGGGAGTATCAACCGACGCGCAGCGGAGGTCGATGCGACGCGACTGCGTACTGTCTGAGTGCAGTAGCCTCGTAATAACCTTATTATTATACATCATGGAAATGTCAAACAGATTTAGAACAGATTTAGTGAACTTCTTTGTGTGGGGGCCGGTCAAACGCTGGGGTAGCCATGTTTGTTTTTTATTAATAGACGACGTTACGCGCGTAATCGTTCCATATTTGGAATTCGCGTTCCCTTATATGGCCCGGTAAGATGAACGTACCCAGTGAAATAACGCAAAATTACGTCACGCTGTAACTTACGGCGTTACAGAGACAGATGTATAATAATTCTATTTATTAGGCTAAGCATAAAGATAAAAACAAAATAATTAGATAGTATCTTATCACAGGACAGTGCCATGATGGTTGGGCAATTATATGTATATACGATGTATACATGTGTTCATTTCACTCACCAATTTGACAATGCACCCCGGACCACCCTGTCAAACACTGGCACGATGCAACGTTGAATTGAGCGAGGCATGTTCCACCATTTCGACATAGATCAAGGGTACACGGGTTGTAATCTATTTTTAAAAAATACGTACACATTGCATTGGTGAATCTGTTTCGTTAGCCCCGCCACGTCTTATTAATTGTTGGCAGAAATGTAAACATAATTGCTGGTATTAATTATCATGTACCTGTTTCACAATTTTGACCGGTCCAACCGTGGGAACACATACAAACGTAGTAATTCGCAAACGTGGCACAGGTGGCGCCATTCAAGCATGGGCTGCTGTCGCATGGATATACAACTGTGGAAAGATTAAGTGTTTGAGGAATATATTAAACTGAAACGTCAATACATATTTCACTGGTAATACAGTCACGGGCTTCATAGTTAAATATTAGTGTCGCTATTGTACTGAATTGTTATCAAAATCAGGTGCGTTTACTATTTAAAGCGGGGAGTTGTCACCTGCGCATGCGTCAGATGGCCATAGCGTGTCATTATTTACAAACAAGCGTCCAGCCACGAGCTTTTGCGTTTTTAGCGCGTGTTGTTATCATCGCTTGGAACTCAATTCCCGCGCGCGCGCAGGTGACGACCCCCCCCCCCCCCCGCCACCTTAAAGGGCGGTGGTCGTCGCGTCACGCATGCATGAAATGCGGACTCAACTGGCGACTTTGACTGTTGCGCAGACCATCGAGTTTAAACTGAGACGTAACTAAGCTTTAACTACTGTAATTACTTTGGTGATTGGAAGGTATCGAAGGAGTCAGCGACGGTAATTAGTACACATTGCGCCTTGGTCAAAACACATAATCTTGATTTCCATTGGAAGAACACACTATGGATTATGGGAACATAAATGTTTATTAACACAAATGCCGCACATGCGCGGCGCGACGATCCCCGCCGTTTAATAGGATACAATGATCATGCAGTGCCACCACAAATACAAAACATGGCCGTATCGTTATTACTTCCGGGGTTATGCAATAGCTAACATGTTGTATATATAATGCACATGTGAGGAATCTTTTCAAGAAAAATTCATACCCTCCTTTACAAGGAGACAAATAAATACGAATCTAACTTGTCAAGTTCTTAGGCTAGATATTGACAACAGTCGAATTTGCTATGACATGGTCGATGTTCTGAATTTACGCAACACTGGGACGGCGTGACACTTATGGCAGGCATGGAAGGAAGACTTACTTTGTTCGCACGTAAGACCACCTCGTCCATCAGGACAGATGCAAATTGTAGTTTCAAGCGACGTCGACGGGATACAGGTGCCGCCGCCTTGACAAGGATCCGGAATGCAGGGGTTGACCACTGAGTGCGAAGAACAGATGAACATCAACTGACGTAAATAAAACCCCGAACTATCAAATGCACATGCGTGTTATTGTATTAGATGTTAATGAAACACTTTAAAAACGTAGAGATACTCTACCTTCTGTGCACAACTGACCGGTCCAGCCCAGAACACACAGGCAGCTGATGGAGTCATCGATACTGGTACAGGTGCCGCCATTTTGGCATGGATTGGATGTACATGGATCTATAGCTGATATGCGTACAACACGATGAAATAATTAACTAGATTTTACATTGAACCCTCTCTGAAACCTCCCTTGAAATTTTCCCTTACTTATAGCATGCAGACACAGATATTTCACGGATCTTCAAGTTGTTTTATTACGAGAGCTTGACGGTAGCGATCCATTTCGTAAATATCAAAACAATCAGACATACGCAAGCTTACCCGACGCCAGCTTCCTCGCGTAGAAGCCCCCTGAGTGTCGCTGACATTTAAACACAAAAGTAGTTGTAATAAATGCTTCTTCATTTTTCCTCATAAGCTAGAGCTAATTCTTTTGTTTTTCTTTGCGGTGTTATCCCAATAATTTATAAATATCATTATGGATAACCCATCACCACGCCACCAACGTTACAATAACTAAATCTACCTGGCTGCTCGCAATGAATGCCTTTCCAGTCACGTATACAGTCACAGTTGTAGGAATTGCTGCCAGCAACTACGCATACCCCGCCGTGTAAACATGGACTGGGTGCACAAGGATCAACTAAACAGCAGGAGGACAAGAACACAAATTAAATTATCTGATAAGCAAACACGACTACTGAGCAGTGCGGAGGAACGGGTAGAACCTCGGCGTTGTAATGATAGATGCATGTATTTATATGAATTGAAAACCGAATATTTAAAAGTACACATCGGTTCATATCGAACATCACACATGTACTAATATAGCGTGTACTATTAATGGCTGATTGCAAAGCACGCCTTACTTCTTTCTACTACACAAGTTCCACCGTGCAAGCAAACATTAGGTGAGCTGGCATCAACTAAAGACAATTTTTAAAACAATAACAATAAACTAATGCATCTAAAAGCGCAGACAAGTGACACGAAACGTATAAGTAACATGGTGAAATAGCGTTGTCCTGTTCATCTGCTATTCGGACAGTGTATGTGAATGAGGAGACAAAAGTACACATACACATACACATACACATACAAAAATGGTTCAACGATGAATCATTTGCCCATCTTGACATTCATTCACGAGCTTCTACAGTTCAGTTCAGACTCAAAGATGTTATTCAGACACACGTCACTACTGCAAGTGTACAGAGCTGAATGAAATGGAACAACATGTGATACGTTATGTCACTGAAAAATCCGTGTGTGTAAACCTACCTATGTCACAGTAGAAACCCATATACCCTGCATTGCAGTCACAGATGTATGTTGTAGTAGCCTCGTTACTCGTCTGAGTCAAACATTGTCCATTAACACACGGACCGCTGAAACACGCGTCAACTAAATAAAGGAAATAATATACACTACAAACACAGAGCACGACAAATCTTTAGAGATACGTAACCCTAATTTACTCCACAAAGCAACACAATGCCACCGTGTTTTTTTTTGGGGGGGGGGGCTCAAACAACTGTTATTCTTCTAATATCTAAAATATATATTTATATATACGACTTATTTGTACTAGTTGCAAATATTGTTAATGTAATTACTACTAGTTATTGTAGTTATATAACAAGTGTGATCATAACAACATAAAGTTTAAAGAAGAGGAGGATAGGAATTTCGAGAAATTGTTACTCACGTATTTGGCATTGGTCACCAAGCCAGCCATCTAAACAGTTACACGAATACGTATTTCCATTGCTTTCACACACTCCCCCATTCAAGCATGGCGAAGGCAACGAACACGGGTCAATGTCTACGAAAGAATACATACCATACATATGAATACATTCTGAAGTATGACGACGTCTTGCCGCAACAGGTTGATTTGAGCGAAATTAATTGAAGTCCTAAGTCATTGTGATAGCAAAGTTCCACTTACTTGCCAGGAAACAACATGGCATCGGGGCAGGGGGGAAATCAAATTTCCACTATGCAGGATACATAAGTTTAAAATGTGTCATTCCTATTGCTTTTCAAATAAGTATTACTTACACGTTTCGCAGTTTTTTCCCACATATCCAGGATTACATACGCATTGATACCCATCGATAACCTGGGCACATGCACCATTGCCACAGGGATTTGGATTACATAGATCAAGTCCTACAATAAACAAATATTTCGAGAAATTATATGTAAACACCTAATGAAGTTAAATATATTCTAAGTGATTGATGGGTTATACCTCGGCCATATAAACCATATTAAATTGAGCAAAAAAGTGAACAAAAAGCGGAATTTGAAAATTACAGAATGACACTTACTGGTTTCACAATAGGTGCCAGTAAAAATGCGCGTACAGGTACACGTAAAGGCATCTTCTGCAGAATTGCAGACTGCATTATTGAGGCATGGATTGCTAGCACACGGGTCGACACCTAATTAATAATTAAATAAACTTGTATTATTATATGATTGATTCAGCTGTACATACATCAATGACCCATTATTGGTAATCTACAGTCTTATTGAATTATTAAACAAGGATGCAGTGCGGATATTCTATATAGGTACCAAAAACGAATAAAAACAAAATAAATTAAATTTCATCCGTGTAAAGACATATCATGAAATCCGTTTTAAAACCATTACATACGAGTGACAAGTCTCTAGTGTACTTACGTTCGGTACACGTTGTCCCAGTCCATCCAGAGTAGCATAGACAGTAAAATGAGGAATAATTCATTTGATGATAGCAGGCGCCGTTTGCACACGGATTGCTGTTACACGGATCGTAAGCTGTAGTGTGTGTATATAACGAATACGATGTCATGGTTCGTGCCAGAAGAATTTACGTTGGCCCAGATTAGGATTGAACAGTATGAACAGGCTTTAAAGAAGGGTTAACCCTAAGATGAAATAGGCTCTAGGGTTGATTAATTTGGGCTTTGGTTAATATATTTGACGTCAATATGAAATTCGAACAGGTTCCAGGGTTTGCATAATCCCGATGTGCTTGTTTTCACTCACGCGTAATAAAACTAGTACCATTTATAGACTATTTATTAACACATATCTTCTAGTACATGTATTCGAGCCTATATTGGTGACGTCATACTCACACTCTGCGCATGTTATTCCCGTCCATCCCGGCATGCACGTGCATACAAAGAAGTGGCCAGTCTCGCTGTTGCTGCATGTTCCACCATTCTGACAGGGACTTGAATAACACGGATTTGCTGTCGGGAATGAACAGACTATTATTTTTGCGTGTTTTTTTTTTAAATTCCCGAGTAAGTCACACAAGTTCACGTTTCAATGCTCCACTTGTGACTTCGTATCAATGTGAGAAGTGAAACTGTTTTTCATTTGTTGGTTTTTAGTCAAATACTATCTGTCATGTAAATTTATGACATTATTTGTCAAAGAGATCATGTTAAACATAGTATCACTGGAAAATATTAAATATACATGCCTGTCATGTTTTAATTGTACACTAAGGCTGGCACATTTAAAGCAGTGCCTATCATTGGAATACCTATGAATAAATTGAGTGTGTCTTGACCTAACCGCAGAAAAAAATGTATTATTACTTGGACACCTATAGCGATTCATCGATCAAGCAGTTTCAATTTTACTTTATTAGCCAAACATATGGGAGCGTTTATGGTAATGGCGCTGTTACGCCATATTGTTATGAACACTGCTTTCAGTAAACACGTCAGGGAAATAAGATTACGAGGTAGCAATAAAATGAGTTAATTTGCCGTGCTCTAAATCGTCAGTGACGTTAGCGGAAATATGTACTTCTTTTCAGTGGTTTCATGTTTTATTGCTTATACACTCACTATTGTATGTCATGATACAGTATTTCAAAGTAGACATTACCATCACAGACTGTGCCTGTGGCACCACTGAGTAATATTTACTTTTCTCAATGTTTTATCTCAATATATTTTATGTTGTATTAATGAAATGATGTATAGTGGTAATTGGTGTTGCTTTACAAGAAGTGGTCACGTGTTCTTAATCATATATTCTAATTACTCTGCTAATCAACTCTCATTTCGTCTGTAACGGGTCGTGTATTGCAACCCATTTGCACGTGGGTAGTGCTTTGTAAAGGCGCCAACATAAAACACACAGAGTACGATATCACAAACCCGAGATCCTCGCTGACTTTTGTGATATGCACTACTATATATATGTTTCTTCATACGCCGCTATTTTGCACATTTTAATCAATTAAAATAATTGTGTCGTATTCATCAAAGGTTAATTGTTAGCGTGTTCGACTCCCGTGGTAGGCTGTGACCCATAGTTGTAAATATAATACATCTTGCTGACTTGCTAGACTCACTGCTATCAAGGTTGGGAGTATGGCGTCTAGTCAGACCGAACGTAAACCTATCGGTCATGTGTGTTATTCATGTCCTCAATGTACATACAAAACAACCTTGCGGAATGTCTGGAATTTACCCTCATTCTAGGTATGTAATGGGGCTCTTAGCTTGTTGATCTGCGTGATAAACGACCCAGAATCATAGATATTTGTACCGTGTCACAGTTTTAGAAGGTCAGGAGATTTATTTTTAAGGAAGCAAAAACGGTATGTGCGAAACATTCATTCCAATGTATCAAATAATGGTAAATATGCATAGTTCAAACGTCACCTCCAAAGACACGTGTTAACAAACTTATCATGACACGTATTCCTTTTGCATGTTGGGAATATGTGGGGATGAAATGCAATATACCATATAAAACAACAACCGGGTTCCTAGAAATATTTCGTTGTGCACACAATATGTTTACCAATAGAAAATTTTGGGATATTTTTGATAGAAATTTACCTATATAAAATACACATTTGACAATGCAATGCAAAACTGACTGAGGTTAACAACACAATATAACACAGCACAACATTACTCACATGACATCATATCACAACACAACACATCACAACAAAACACAGCAGAAAACATCACAACATATCACAGCACATCACGACATGACACGCCACGCCACGTGACGTACGTCACAGGACGAGACGACACGCCGGGAGACGTCACAAGACGACACGCCGCGAAACGCCACATGACGCGAAAATACGACACGTGACGCCATATGACGACACGCCACGTGGCGCCCCAAGACGACACGCCACGAGACGTCACAAGACGCCGCAAGTCGACACGCCACAAGACAACACACCACGAGACGCCCACGTGATGCCACAAGGCAACACACTAAGACACGTAACGTGACGCCACAAGACGACACACCTACGGGACGCCACGTGATGCCACAAGGCAACACACTAAGACACGTAACGTGACGCCACAAGACGACACACTACGGGACGCCACGTGATGCCACAAGGCAACACACTAAGACACGTAACGTGACGCCACAAGACGACACACTACGGGACGCCACGTGATGCTACAAGATGACACGCCACGAGACGCCACATCATATTACAACGCACCACACAATAGCACAACACAGCAAAACGCAGCACAAAGCAATTATTAACTTTGCCATCGATGATATGTAGCTTTGTCTCACAATCTTAAATCTAAACTCTTTTTATTAGAACAATGAGTTGCATATTTATGGCCGTCGACTGTAGCTAGTAATTGTTTTATTGCGTGAACAAAGTAATAATTTAGTCTTGTGATTTCTTGCTTTGACGTCAGCAGACACGAGTTATTTATTGCCCAGAGTTGTTGATTGAATCAAGGGCTGATACACTGCCTGTCTTCAAATTCTTACTTAACACATGAAGTTCATATTCTTACTGTTTTGGAAAATAAAACGAGAACATTTTAAGAGAGATAATACGATAATTGTTTCATGCAAATTGTATGCAAATGTAGTTTCCAAATATCGCGTCGCCGAGTACTTTCATTTTATTATTATTATTGTTTATGAATTGAAATCATGTCCAGTTCGAGATTCAATCTAACTACAATTCATATGACTGTCCTGTGCGAGTGTATTTGAGTTCTGTCACGAGAATTCGGATTTCCGGTTTAGGCATCATGTCATGCTCCGAATTATGCGTGTACATTATAAATTCAAGCACGAAAACAATCATCCCACATCTAAATATCAGAATAACACCGGATATGCGGCAGATACCTGTATATCTTTCCTTTGTAAGATCATCCTCTCGTGGAAGGGCGAGGGTATCGATTCTGCTGCGAAGCATTTGTAATTTCTACAATTTTTAAAAAATCATTCTATTTTTTGAGCGTATAATATATATTTTGTTGAATGTTTTTCTTATACTGCAATTATCCAACAGCATAACATATCGGAAGTTCCAGGCACCCTGAATAGCATGTACAATAAATAAACATTTATTAGACGTCTATATAGACTGTTGAAAATCCTTTCTTACGTCACACTGTTGATAGGTATACGGTATGTGAGATAATATACAAAACGCAGTGTAGACTGATTGGGACAAAAGCATGTAAAACATGTAAACAGTTGTTTTATGTAGATTCACATTTATGTGCACAGGAACCCGATTTATTCAAACTAATTTCATTTTATGCTTCGCTTCGCAATAATATATTGACACATAACTCAAATGACAGTTCGTTTCAGACATAATATTGTAGAGAGGTATAGTGTTATACTTATCTCGCTTTATCAGCGTCAAATACGGTGTTACACACGACAGTACATCAAAGACACGCAAAATCATTTCGATGCGTGTGGAATATTTAATTTTGATAAAAATGGATTATTAATTAATTAAAATCTTGTGTTTTATAAGCTAATTTCAGATGGTCTCTTTTAAAAAATTTCCAATTTATACTTGCTAGCTGTCTTTCATGTTTAGTAATTTAGTGTGGTCCAACAACAACTAAACTTCCCGATTGATCCTCAAACTATCGTTGGAGTTCTTCATTATTCATAGTCATCCAGTTTATAGATACCGCACTTCGTATTTCAATGTCTCACAGTTATAGTGTGAGATGGCATCCCAGTGTCGAACATACATTGTGTTAAAATATTCGCTGCGCGTCCATGTCTGGCGTCGTTGGATACCTGAGTGTAGAATATAGATATAATAAAAATATAGTATTTTCGGAAATTTATATAAGAAGGTGTATTTCTGGTCATTTATTTTGAGTGTCACCGTACACGTTTCAAATAAAATTTACTCGACTAAGACACATTGTTTGTGTTTGGCATGGACAAGCAGAAAACGTCGCTGTACTATGGAGTGTTTTCTTTGACATTGTGATTTTGATAGTCATCTTTTGATGGAACGGTATGCAGTAAATGTATTCACTGTAACGTACAAACCACAAGACTGTTATTTGTTGAAAACAGCTGCTATAATAATCATATATCATACAAATATGTAGTATGGTGTGGTCCTCATGAAATATAAGCTGAAAAGGAGAATCGTGATGTGACATTTGTTTGATCCTTGTAGTGTTGGAATGCAATATATTTGGTGTAGGTATCATGTACAAGATAAGACAGTGGGACAAGGTCAAAACAACGGCCTCGTTGTTTACATGTACGTATATTAAAAACTGAACATTTGTTTATAAGGTTGTATCACTTGATAAAATCATGAAATACCATTAAATAAAAAGCGATTTACATATGTAAACGAAGTGTACAAATAATGTTGTCACGTGATCGTAATATTGTAAATGAACATAGTAATAAGTAAGCTCTTACAAATGATACAATGTTCAGTTTTATTGTAGTGGGTTTTGTACACATACCAGTAGTCAATATCTGTGCAAGTTATGTTATAAGTTATTAAACTCGCAACATATTTCACGTCCTCTT